ACGACGACAGTTTTTCAATACATAACCTAACAAAACCAAACACACCAACAACAATACAACCACCGAAAATGATGAAAAAAGGCATACCGAGAGAATTTATTGACATTGCAACCAATACAGATACAATCGCCACAGAAACCAGAGAGACTCAAGAAAAGTTATACAATGATGCAAATCAGCAATTAAATATGACATTTGAAGCGTTTAAGGTAAAGGAAAACCAAGACAATATGTTTAGAATAATGAAACTTTTGGCACAACACATACAAAAGGAATGAACCAACAAGAGCACAAGCAACACAAACACTGAAAAACCAACGCGACGCAATGGTGTCAGCCTTTACTACAATGCTTGACAACAACAAACCACCAGAACCACCGCCAAAGAAACCACCAGACGAGGAGGACAGCGACGAAGAAGAAAAAAGATTCAAACTGACAAAAATGATAGAAATAATGCTACACAACGGCGCTACAGTAGCAGATATAATATTAAACTTATCACATAGCGCAATTGCAACAACAATAAATATCGCAGATTTAGTTAATCAAATAACAGCAGGAAATGCACAAGGTAGCAGTAGCAATTCATCAAATGAAGCTATTAGTGTTCATAGTTCGCCACCTATTACTGTTCATAGTTCTTCATCTGAAAGTCCAACAGAAGTACCAGCACCAACGAAGACGAAGAAGAAGAAGACGGAGAAGAAAAACAAAAATATAATTTTGAAAAATTAAAATCTAAATAATATTATATATAATGGGTTCAAGTAAATCAAAACCAGTAGAAATTGATGATGAAGAGGCTATTAAAGTAATAACAGATATAGATGTAAATACGATAAGTGAAATGTCAAGAATTGATATTCTACAAATAAATTCATTGAAAGCAATAATAAATAAATTAGAAAAAGTTAATGAATGTAAAAAAGATAAAACATATTATAAATTTCCTGCCTTAAATTTATGTAGCTATTCCTTATTCTAAATTGATAATATTAACATACATTAATATTATTAATTACTATCATAATCTGTCATTTCATCTTCTGGTAATTTTGTTGAGGCATTGCTACACATATCATCTATTAAATCTTCTTCATCAACAAAGTTATTTTGAAATCTTAATAATTCCTCGTCTGTTGGTCGTCTTTTTAACACTTTATAAAGTTTATGTATCCAAGAATTAGTATGAAAATTGTAATTGCCTCTACGATAAAATCCACCACATCTACATAGTTTCATTGGCATATTATTATATTATATTAAATTAGAATATCTTTATTCATCATTTGTAATTTGAAATGCCTGTTCAAAACGGATAAAAAACATGTCATTCACATTCTTAGCATTCATATTCACGTAGAAGAAACTATAAGGTGCGTCATTAACGGCTTGATGATACATATCTAATAATTGCTGTTTGTCAACAATGGCGCTATTTTCTTCAATAAAACTCATTAATTCACTGGCATTTTTCAACCTAAAAATATATAATGAACTGGCATTTAAACGAATGATAGGCGCCAACACATTATATTTCTGTGTTGAACAAATTACGCTTACTGCATCGTGCCTACCTCTTGTAAATAATCCATGTAATAATTTACTATATCTAACAAATTTAGGATCGTCGGCATGATCGTCTATAACGATTAATATTGAATGCAATTTCTTTATCTTTTTAGATTTCATATAATTAATTATTTTCTTCTGTCTTTCAATTACATTTTCTAAATCACTTGGATTATAATTATCAAAATATATTTGTTCTTTTTCATCATCTACATGTAGTTCATCCCTAATATATTTCTTTACTTCTGTAAAAGTTGGGTCATTATGAACGCTGGGTGAAAATATAAATATTCTTGCAAATGAATTTCTATAAACATTTAAAATAAGATTCTGAACTAAAACTGTTTTGCCTCTCGTCGAACTCGCAACTACAATACTTCTAAATGGTAATTTTGGCACGTGCTCATATTTAGATTGTTTGAATTCATATTCAGTTATGTTTATTGGTTTTATTATTGGGACATCTGACATAATAAAATAATATTAAAGTTATTTAGAAATTATTTTATATTTATTATTTTATATGAATAGAAGCTATTCGGATTATATTGATATAATAGATGAAGTAGAGAATTTAGAACAAGTTGTTATAACTGATAATAGATGCAAGAAAATATGCTATTTTGTTTTAGAAATAATTAAGTTTGTGATACAATATATCAAAAATAAAAAGGTAAATATTAATATAAATGGGAAGAAAGAAAAAGAATAAGACTGAACCAGTTGTTTCTTCAACTGATGAAGAAAAAGAAGAAGTTGTTAAAGAAACATCAGTTATTGAGTTTTCTTGTCCGATGTGTAAAAAGATCTTAGAAATGAAAAATGAATTAGAAATAAAAAATAATAAAAATTGCAAATGCTCGTGTATACCAACAAGTTTCAAATTGAGTAAAAACGATAAACGAATAAATATCGATAAAACTAAAGACAGTATCAACTTAGAAACAGATGTTCATAATATTGCTATACGCTTTGGGAGGGGAGTTACTCCATCCGATAATGGCGATAAGGAAACACAGGAAACGATACGCGAAATGATGAAAAAATAATAATTAAAATTATGTCTATTATTATTTATAATGCAAGATGTTATAAATAATATTCTTAAATTCATTGATGTAAAAGAATTGAAATTAAATAATTTTATTGAAGAATATAACGAAAATGATATATTAATTAATTTTGTTAATGACTTTAGAAATAGTAAAATTGATTTTAACATGTTTTATAATTCTATTAATTATGCTGATTTATTTGAACAATCAGATTTAAAATTTTATTGTAAAAGAATATATTCATTTACTTTAAGATTTATTGCTAATTATGATAATATGAAATTACATTGAGAAAAACGAATAATATTTACAAAAATAGTAACATTAATGTTGTTAATGTGTTTGAATGTATTAAATGTTTAATAATTTATATTACAGATAATATTGAAAAGTTTCATAAATATTCAAAATTTCGAAAAACTATTATTTGTAATTTAATTGGTAAATTGAATAATAATTTAACGAGTTACACAATAACTAATTTTGAATTGACTTATAATGATATATGATTTTGTAAAATAAAAGTTTAGTTTTAAAAGTTTTATTTTATAATATAATATATATATTTACATGGATGAAGGATTAGAAAAGATTGTTAAAAAACTGAACAAGATTTTAGACCAGAACAAGAATATTTTAGAAATCTTGCAAGACATGGAAAAGAAGAAACCTTTAACAAACAGTTATCAAAGTAAAGAAGTAGATAGAACCAATGGTGAATATAAAAATAAAAGAAATATTTATTTAAACAAACTTAATAACAAAGAAATTAAAGAACCGAAGGCTTCAACTATGACATTTTATCAAATTGACTATGATGAAGATACGGGGGTTTATTCATAGATAATAATCCAACGACAAAACAGCATGTTTTCTTGAAATTAGGTTGGGTTCCCCCTTTTTTGGGGCGACAGTTTATTTATATTATGTTATTATAATATAAATTAACATTGTAAAATTTTATAATCTTTCATTATACCATAGTTATACTCTATAAAATTTGTTTTTGTGTTTCTTTTTTAATGAATGAACCTAACCTTGCCCATAATATTTCTACAAAATTTATGATAAAAATATTGTAAGATAATTTATCATAATTTTTGGAATAATATTTTTGAAAATTTATTTTTTGCGAATTTATTTTTTGGAAAATTACTTTTATTTTGAAAATATATTTTTGCTTTTTTTTGAGAAATATTATTTTTTGAAGATATTATGCTTTTTGAGAAATATTATTTTTTTGAACAATATTATTTTTGATTTTTTTTTTATGAATGAGCTTAACCTTGCCCATGCATCCTACCATCAATAACCATATCATATGAACCACCCTATACTCCTATTTCCCCACAAGCATCCTAACAATGACAATAATGATGGAATAGAAAATGAGAAAATGTGACTTTTTTGATGGATTTTGAGGTTGAGACTGTTATGAAATGTTTTGAGTGGAAATATGCATAATGAATAAGGATGACGATTTGAATAGTGAAAAAATGGTTGAACAATGCTGTTCTTGCGTAGAGGGGGGGCTACGCTCGGGTACCACAAAAAGATGGGCAAGGCCCACCCTAACTCTATCAGCACCTATTACCAGCAAGCCTCTTGGAGTCACCTCCTGAAAGGACAGTCCTGAAAGGAGTATGCAAACGCGGCGCCTACAACAATCCCCAATATGTGTCCCTTCACCAAACAACCGGCCATTCAAGCAGCTGTATACACCCTTTTGGCTTCCGTTTGGCAAGGTGTCCTTTTTGTTTCTCGGAAAACACCACACCAAAGGCGGGACTTTTAAGGCCCGGAAATTGCGACAAATATGGCGCGCCGCGTGCGTCCTGAAACAAACAAGCGCAGACTGACTTTCGGCCGTCGTCTAGCTGCATTGGTCGCGGCTCGCGACTGGTGCTGGGCCTGACTAGGCAGCAGCACTTGCTCTGGGCCACACTTCGGGGCGCTCAGCCAGCTTGAACTCCAAGTAAAGCGGAGGAGGCCATGACATTTACGGAGCCTCTTGCGAGGCCAGGAGGAATGGCGGCTTAGGGAGTGAGTGGCTCTGCGCTTCCCACATAGTGCAGCAGCGCTCGCTCGCTCACCACTCCCTCACTCACAAACGGAGACTGACTTGCAGTGCAATCAAGGGCCTGGATATGCTGCCGCTTCAGGGCATGAGCGCTACAAATGGTTGTTGGAATCATGGCCCGGGTAGTTGAATCTTTTTCTCTTGAGGTGAAAGGAGAATCCCCCCAAAACCTAACCACCGTTCCAAAGCTCCAAACCGAGCTTTGTGGGTGTGCAGGTTTCGCGCTGTGTTCAACTTTCATGTTGCACGTGTCGCCTGGGTTGCTCACTCGTGGCGTGAACCCTTTCCGCCTGGTCCAGCAACTTGGCATCAACGTAGTTCACCAGCTGCTGCATGTACTGGGGCGCGGTCCTTTGACAAAGTCGCCCCGAAGCTTGCTTTGCCATCAAGATGGCTGAACGGCTTTTGTTGGTCGTCCAACATTCAACAAGGGTCGGTTGGTAGATCCAGCCCCCCCCCACCCGAAGAAGAAAAGGAAGAAGTGTTCCTATTGTTTTTTTTCTTGATATCCACCAAACAAGGGTGCCCTCAGAATAAGACACGCCCATTTTCTTGCGTCTCTGGGGTAGACATTTCACACGAAACGTCAAACATGGCGGGTGGCATGAATCCCCATGCGCATCATGTCCGACAAGTCCACCAAAGGACAAAGGGTACTTTTCGGGTTGCTCAAAGACTCTACAAGGCTAGACGCTTGGCAACTGGTTGAGTGGAAACCACACAAGGTTTCAATCCATTTCTCCTCCCTTGGGCTGAAACCTTCCAAGGCTCCGAGCAACGCTGTTTGGCTCCAACCTGGGTATGAACTTTAATGTTGACCCCTCTGAGTCTAGTGGGGATTCAGCCCACTCTAGGGGCTCCCGTTTTTATATTTCAATAAACTGGGGTTGATTAATCTGTCAACATTGATGGGCCCTGTGGGCACCATCAGGAATCTATGTCCACCAATTGGGAGTTGGCAATCCCAATTAAACTCCACCGCCTGCCCGCTAGATTCTGCCCAGGAACATGAGGAGAGCCCAACGACCAACAAGCCTTAAGATTGGCGGTTTTCCTTGGTGTCCCTTCAAACCAACCCAAGAAAGGGTCCGCTCAAACCGACACACCCACAAGCCAAGCGCAGTCAAGGCTGCTTTCTAATTGGTGGTTTGGGTCCCCACAGCTAAGCAAACCACAAACTGCCCCGCAGGGCCAACATTGGCTGAACGTATATGCCAATATAATCCGGTTCGGGATTTGGCTTGGATGCTTGCTTGATGACTTGATTTCGGATAAGCCCATAGACAAGCGGTTGATACCCGAAATTCATGAGAGTGTGTCATGAACATGGGAACCTGCACAATGGTGGTGTTTCTTTGGTCCGCTAAACAACCAACCAAAGGAGGGTGCCCTCCCCTCCCCCATTCAAAGACGAGGGTAAATGCATTCAACATTTGCGGGCGAGGCGTCATTGACACAGGCGTGACATTCACCTCGTCGGCCCACTTGTACTCGAGCTTGTCCCCTGAGAAAGAAGCTCAAAGCTTCTTTGTGAGGTCTGTAATTGCCATTCTGGAAAAGTCTATTGGGAGTCTCTTTTTCGCGTTGGTACTCCTTTTTTGTGGTTCCCCTGTAGGGGGCAAAAAAGACTCACCCATTGGCTTGGCGTACCAAAGTGCAAGTGCACTTCCATGGCTATATCCGAGGATGGGGGATGCACCAAAGGATGCAACCAAGCATGGCTTCTGTGAAGCAGGCCGAAAGGAACACCAACAGCTCGGAGAAGATTCTAGAGTTGGGCACATCTAAACAGATGGCACTTTTGGGGTAGATGGGCAAAGGCCAAAGCCAAAAATCAATGGCAAAGCTGGGCATCAGCTGACAACCTCAGCTTCCAGGCAGATTTGTATGGTTAATCTGTCAGAACGTGTGTGCGCGGCCTCGCCGGAAAAAAGGGACAAAAGCGGGGGAGTCAGACCGGTCTGACTCCCTCCCGGAAGCTGGACCGCGGCTCTCCCTGGAAAAGCGGACAGACTTCCCCAAGCCTTTAAGGCCGGAAGCAAGGGGTTGATTTTGGGGAAAGAGGGGTAGGGAGCTATGAAAGGATGGGATCCTAGTTGTCTCTCTGAGAAAAAGGGGCACCTCTTGACAGCTGCCAGCGAAGCACTACCGTTAGCACCGGGTGTCAATCAACAAAAAACAATGGGGGGGGGGCCTCCTGGGATTTGTTCTCCTTCGGCTTCCCTTGACCAAGACATGGGGGAATTGGAGACAGACCCACATCTCGAAACAGCAAAGGGCCAGAAACCGCAAACGTCTTGCTATGGTGTCATGGGGGATGGCGATCTGAGAGAATTTCTGAGAGCATTGAAGGGGAGGCGCTTCCCCCTATGTTTCAACTGATGATGATCCTGACACCAGCAGGTGCTTATGTGGCAGGCCACGCTAAAAAGGGGTCTAAGAATTGAGCTCATAGCGACTGGAAGGGCTTTAAATCAGGAAGTGAAACCCACGGTGGGGTGACTCAACCCCTTGGCTAAACAATGGGTTGAACAGCTATCACTTTACCAATCCTTTTGGTGTCACTCAAGGCTGTGTTAGACAATTTTCCCACAACCCTGGTGGACGCCCTAAATATTGCAAGTCCCGTGAGGAACAGAATATCCGCCTTCGGGAACAAGGCGGTGCAAAGTGCACGGCGGGCGGTTCTTACAAAAATCCACAACTGAAGAGTACCCCCAATTAGTGGCTTCTTTTGGTCTGAAAAGGAGAACGTTTGACATAATTAACTGTTAAGGGTACTCTTTGTTGGGTTGGCTTTTAGGGAGCCAAAGGGAAAACCACAAATTACGTGGCCCCAGTCCAAGTTTTAAAGCCCTGCCCTTGATGCCCGATGCCTGCGCACATTCGTGGGCAGGACTCCTCCGTACAAATTTCGGAGAGGAAATGCACCACCCGCACCGTCTCCTGGCAACCAGGAAAGAAGGTTTGAACGGAACGGTCAACTTATTGACCCTTCTGAAGTGGTGAAATTTGTGGATTGGCGAATTGTTTCGCACCAAAGTGGTCTTAGGGATAGCGTCAGAAGCTCCGGGAGTAGTAAGCCCCCTTTGACGACAGTGGACCCCCTGCACTTCAGGTCGTCTCTTTGGAGGGCAAAGGTAGCGCGCACCGACGTACAGGGTGTAAGTGGAAACGGCAACAAAATTATCTAAGTTGACCACAAGGCATTGAGCACACCGCCAGGAACAGGGCTAGCTCTTTTGGGCGCTCACGCCAGCAAGAACTCCAGACGTTCATTGTTAAAAGGCACTGGCAACTGCAACAGGTAGAAAGGCCCTGCCTGGGACGTCTCAGGAAGTGTCACAAAGGAGACGTCTTAAACAAAAACCAGAAGAATGTGTGGCCCAAAAGCATATAGTGAGCAGCTTCACTTCATTGTTGCAAGCTCCGCGCAGGGCGTAGTTTTTGCGCAAGTTCGCCGTCGCTATTGTGGCGCGTTGCGCTCGAAGGAAATGGTCCCTCCCACCAAGCGTGCACTGCTCAACTGGTGCGCTGTAGGGACCTCTCACCACAAACAGGAAGCGCAAAACAAGAGCTTGCCAATTGCACATAGCTGCCAAGTTGCCCAGAGTCGCAGTTCACGCGGGAAAGGAAGATAAACAAAAAGGGTCACGAAAAGCTTCCTACTCAGGATGCACGGGGGTCATTGAAAATAGAACGGGGAAACAGTTTGCAAACGAATAAGACTGAAAGCAACACCAGCCAAACGCTTGCAGCATTTACTCATCACACGCCGCCTCTCAGCTGTCTCCACCCTCGTCAGAAACAGATCTTCCCTAGCACCAGCCCGCAAGAGGACCGTTCACAAGCAAACAGGGATGTCAGCTGCAAAGCTGGCGGTGTGAAGCGGAGGTCTTGAAGTTAAGCTGCGAGCGCCTGAAACACAACACGTGACAAATCTTCCACGCTCGGTGCCGTTCGACTGCTGCCAGCCGGCCCCCAGCAAAACGACCAGGCCGTCCTGGAAGACTTCCCTTGTCTTTGAGGCTATCCACGTGTCCTGCCACGGAGGGGTGAGTGCGTTCCCTGAGTCTCTCTAGCGCTTCGCAAGCGCGGTTGCTCCCAGCGACACGAGACCCCCCAGTTTCCTGCTGGCTCCTTCGCGAGCACCGTTGCAGCAGGTTCGACACGTGTTCTATTCGTAGCACTCACGCGCTCGTTCTGCAAGGTAACCGGACCCAGCACCAAGCTCACTAGTCGCTGAAGACTGTGCCGTCGCTGTTGTCTAGTTCACTTGGCACACAACGTCCCCGTCACATCTCACCTTTTGCCTCATTGGCCTCGGTGGCTTGAAGTGAGTAGCACCCACATCTGTTGACCTTTGCTTCTCCAACGACCTTGCTTAACCCCTACCTACTCGGCAAGCGAGACTTGGCTACATTGCTAGGCCATCTGTGTTGCAACTCCAAGCCACTTGGGTCTCGGACTTCTGGGTCACCCATTCCTTTCAACCATTGTTCTTTTCCAAAGCTGGCCGTTTCCCCAAGTAGTCTCACGATTTCTCACATTGGCTACGGCCTCATGGTTGCGGTTGAGGCTTGAGATCTTGGGCGTACTTCAGGGCAAGAGGGGGAGCGAGCCAAAAGCCAAGGTCCCAAAAATCGGGGGCAATCTGGCTGCTTGAAATATCTATCCGAAAATTCCCCTGAGAACCCGTAATTCAAAAAAGAAAGAAAGAATCACTCGCCTAGTAGCCTAAGCTTCAATCCCCATCAAAAGGATTAATGAATAACCCAATTTGGATGATGACAATCCTGAACGGTAAACAATGGTGCTGAAAATATGAACCCCGATACAATGGCGCTAAAATATGAGCTCCCACAAAATAGTGGCGAGTTATATGAACCCAACCTTTGTTTTAGTTTGCTGTAAGTGAACCCCAGGGACTCGCCCGATCAAAAACTGGTCCGTCCGGAACCAAACTTCGAAAGAAGCTGAGCTCTTGGAGGGCTGCAGAATCTCGAGCCACTCAAGGACCACGCTCCCTACCGCTTGTTTCCTGGAATACACCCTCCCCCCGTGAAACAGAAAGAAAGAAGAAAGAAAAACACATGGTCTGCGTGTCCTTTCTGGTTGTCCTTCAAACAGCCAAACACACTGCAAGATCGGCTAGTGCGGTGAAAATTGCGCCACCGAGATACACCAAACGCGAGCGCTGAGAAGACCCAGGCTCTCTTTGGAAGAGCCCAAACAAAGCAAACCAGTCGCTGCTTTCGAGGCCTCTCGAGAAAGAAACCTTAGAGCTGGCCGTGGGTCGAACCCCTCGTTCCCTCGGCCGCCTCGTCGATGCTGTTCGGCCGCTTGACGGCGGCCCGGAGCTCGGACGTGCCCAGCGTCTCCTCAGCTGGGAGGTACCAGAAAAGAGCATCGGGGTGGTGTCTTCTTTTAGTTCCAACATGGTGGTGTCTTTCTAAGTTCCCTTCAAAGCAACGCAAAAAAGAAAGAAGTGCCCCTAAGAAAAGGCAGACCCATACCTGGACCTTCCAACATGTAAAATTAACGCCGTTTCCCAAAACAGCAATAATTTTCGCCGGTTGCTGAAAAAAACGCTCTTTCGGAGAAAAAGCGCTCGCCGTGAGTCCAGCTCGGAACCAGGCAAAAAAAAACGCCGTTTCGCCGGCAAATTACGCCGTTTTGACGGCGAATTACGCCGTTTTGCAATTTTGATTGATGCTAGAGTGTGCAAACACTGAAAACTGCCGGCAGGCGAAAATAATCGTCGTTGGGTCAAAAGACATAGTTTTTGACGAAACAGCAATAATTTTGCACATGTTGGAAGACCCAGGTATGACCCTTACACTACGCCTAGTTTAGACCAATACAGGAGCTGCCAAAATAGACGATACAGGAGCTGCCGAGTCCTGGCCGGGGCATTTCAGAATCCTCGATAACCTTCAAATCTGGCTGTCTGTCTCTGTCTGCGTGTACTTGTGTGTGCTAACAAGAGCTTAACATACATCATAGTTGTCCCCTCAAAAGTTTGTGCTAACTCCAATTGAACAATCAACAAATGCCGACCTTTCCTAAGGGGGCGCATTTAAGCCGCGGGAAACAAACTCCAGTCCGTGGTGCCCTATGAATAAGTACTGCTCTACCCCCACGCAAATTATTCTACTGGGGACCGGATTTGTAAGGTACAACGGCTTCATAGGGTGTGTGTGTGTGTGTGCGTGTGCGTGTGCGTGCGC